TGAGCAGGTGGTTAACTCTTCTCTGGAAAACCACGGGGAGGTGTACCATTTAATCTTCAGCACGGTTAGACCGAAGTAAACATTGCCAGAACTTTGACTGACTCTCAGCAGAGGACAACACTTGGTTAAACCTGTCTAATTCTAAAGCCCAGCAGGATTTAGTCTGGGTTGGTCCTGAGGAACCACCAGAAAATTTCAGGACCTTAGATTACTTAGAGTAGTGGTTTTTTTTTCAAATCTTGGCATCTTGAAGATGCTTATACTTCAATCCCAGAATTCTGCAGCCACCCAAAATGACTTGTACAGTGTTGCCAACAAGATTACTTGTTGCTTGTACTTATTACTGGAGGCTAAAAGATATGATGAATGGCTGCAGGAACTGGGCACAGCTAGTCTAGTGAAGAGAAGGACCAGGGGAGACAGGAGAGCAGTGCTTCAATATTTGGGGGGTGCCACAGGCAGATGGTAGTCAAACTATTTTCCAAAGCACCTAAAAGCCAGGCTAGGAATAATAGATGGAAACTGAACAAGGAGAGATTCAACCTGGAAATAAGGAGAAACTTTCTGACAGTGAGAACAATCAACCAATGGAACAGAAGTTGCCTTCAGAAGTTGTGAGAGCTTCATCGCTGCAGGCTTTCAAGAAGAGACTGGGCTGCTATTTGTCAGAAATGGTGTAGGGTCTCCTGCTTGGGCAGGGGGTTAGACTAGATGACCTACAAGGTCCCTTCCAACTCTGTTAATCTGTTATTTACACCAGTGAACCTCCATTACTACTTATTGAGCTTAACTGAAATGCAAGTTTAAGATTAGGTTCACATGTTATGAGCATGTTAAAATACATGTTATGTTGACATAACATGGGATTACCCTAGCTCATGAAGCATTACGGCTGCCTGTTAAGACCATGCCTTGGTACCAGCAACCTAAATGATTCAGCTTCTTTTAATCAATTTACATATATCGTATCTGAGATGTATTTGAAAAAGGGAGGAGCTTTGATCACGTGATCATGGGTTGCCATCTTGGCTTTTTTTATTAACCCATTGCATGGACATCCCTACTTGTTATGACAGAGTTTCAAAGTATACAAGTACTGTTTGGAAATACAGTGGAGACAAGGCAGCACCCCGTGGGGGGGTCAAGGCGGCACCCCGTGGGACTACTGTGGGACTTCTGAATATAAACTGACAAAGTTCTGGAACACAATACCCCGGATATCACGACTGTGGAGAAGAAAAAAGTGTGGATCATCGACTTTGCCATCATACCTGGTGATAACAGAATCGACGAGAAACAACTTGAAAAAGTCACCAGATATCAGGACTTGAGAATCGAACTGCAGAGACTCTGGCATAAACCAGTGCAGGTGGTTCCAGTGGTACTGGACACACTGGGTGCTGCTGTGCCTAAAGACCTAGGCAAGCACTTGAAAACAATTGGCGCTGGCAAGATCACCATTGGTCAGAGGCAGAAGGCCACCTTACTGGGATCTGCTCACATAATCCGCCAATACATCACACAGTCCTAAACACTTGGGAAGTGTTCGACTAGTGATTTGTGATACGAAACCCAGCATGGTTATCTCGTTTGCTATGTATACTGTCATTTTTGTGTATAATAATAATAATAATAATAATAATAATAATAATAATAATAATAATAACAACAACAACAACAACAATAACAACAATAACAACAATAACAACAACAACAACAACAAATCATTATTGTGCCCACCTGCCCTATAACACCAAACAAATACACTGGAATATTAATTTATGAAACAACCTGGATCATTGCATGTGCTTAGATGCTGATGTGTTTCTGTAACCCCCTGAGCCATAAGCTTTTCAATTTAGCCTTGTCATGGGGGCCTGGTGGGTTGTTGTCTCCCTTCCAGAAATGAACCACCCCAGTGCTAAGATCTCATAACAGGAAATTAGGCGTTTGCAAAATGTGATTTTACCCAGAGGCCGATTTGCATACATTGACAATGAATTGAAAAGGCTTTTTTTAAAAAAAATGGGTGGGGTGGGCTGGAAACAAGAAGTTGCGAACAGCGCTAATGTTTTGCTCGGGATGATCCCCCACGTGGGATCTGACGGGATCTGACAGGATCACTGCTTCTGGGGGCCTGATCGCTCCGGCAGCAGGATTCGAACAGTGAAACAGCGCCATGCCTCCCCTCCATTCTGAAACGGGAAGAGGATTGTAACGTCCTCAACAGGCTCTCCGGCCATTATGAGAGGGACCTGACTCTTTTCACGGCTTCTCTCCAAAAAACTCTTTGTCCCGTCAATTAAGAATGCACAAAGGTCTGGGTGCAAGGAGCAGCCCTTCTGCAATCCTTCCAACCATTCCCCCCCCACCGCCCCATGACACACACACACTCCACGTCTTCTTTTGTTTATATATTTTGCTCAAGAAGTTTGAATTTCTTGGGTGTGGTGGGGGGAAACAGAAGCTTCATTATCCTGCTGTTACACCAGGGATAATGCATATCCATGGCTTGAAATGAAGCCCCCCCCCCCCCCCCCCCCCAGTTCTTAACTCTAAATGCTTTTATTGATTTTGGGAAGCATTCACCACAAGGAGCTGGAGGCCTGTCGTGATCCCAGGAGCAGCAAAACAAAACCCAAATCCCCGAGAGAGGCTCTCGAGACCAATACAAAAAACGAAAAGGGTTTTTATTATTCGGTTCAAATCAAGTTTGCAATAGACTTGAAGCTGTGGTGCACACCATTTATTTATATGTACAGCGAGGTATATATATATATACCCCCTGACATCAAGAACTAGTAGCCGGTTCACAAACCATTAATCAAATTAGTTGTAAAATAGCTAATTGGGGAAGAAACTGCAAAAGGCAACTGAGAGAAGAAGAAGAAGATTAAAGGCAAACTTGCTCTTCCACATAGTATTTATTCCTGCCTCTCTCTACATAAAGGCAGCACTTTTGATTTAGCTAATAAGTGCTACCGTGCAGCGTTTCTGCTTATTTATTTGAAAGACATTTCCCAGGATCTGGCTCTGAAATTATCCTTTTTTGAGGGCTGCTCAAAAGGGGAAGGAAACCCCAAGAAGTTTAGACCCTGATTTCGAATCTATCTCACCGCTGTCTTCTGAGATTGCATTCAGGGGAACCCAAATTTGCAGGAAATCATTAAGAGAAGAGAAGGAATGTAGAAGAAGAAGAAGAAGAAAAATAAAGGATGGAGAAATAAGGACAACTAGAAGGCTGAAAATGGGATCAGAGCATCAACCATCCTGATTTCACTTTCAACAGGGTGGAAGTGAACCCAAATTTGCAGGACATTATTATTGACACAAGAGAAGGAACGTAGAAGAAGAAGAAAAGGATGGGGAAATAAGGGCAATTAGAAGGCTGAAAATGGGATCAGAGCCTCCACCATCCTGACTTCACTTTCAAGATAGTGTGGAGAGGAAGGGGGCTATAAGAACAGAAACTTTCTGCAGAATAGAAAAGGCTCAAAGCCTAAAACGACAGAGCAAGGCACCCAGGAGAAATACCTGAACCTCAATTAATCATCTGGTTTTTTTTTTTTTTAAGGGGGTTTCATAGCCGACTCGCTTTTGTTAACTTTTTGCCTTTGTGAAATCTAGAGCCCCTTTGAAGTCACAGAAGCAGACAAGCCGCCATAGACTTCAAAAGCAGGCAGCTTTCAGCCTGGGAAAGTCAGGATTTCTTTTCTACCCCGAGATCCCATAATAGAAACTATTATAAAAAGTAGGAGGAAGGTAGAAAAAAGCAGCGGCTGAATTGGGCTCAGGGTTTCATCCATTGTGGAACAGAGCTGGGCTCATCATCTTCCAGAGCCGCCCCGTATCTAGCAACGAAGTCTTGTCTGAACAAGGCTGGAGCGGTCAGGGAAGACACTTTTTAAACTCCTGGCTGCTGTCAGCCTTTGCCATTTAAGAACCAGACCGGCTGACCCCTTTTGCAGGAGGACCTCCTAACACAAGGGAAGGGGCTAGGGAGGAGAAAGACACCATCATCAATACAACCTCTCAAGTTTGCAGCAGCGCTGCTGAGTTTCCAAAGAAAACCCAACCGTTAGGCTGAGTTATTTGTGCCTGTCCAAAGCAAAACTTTACTGAAGAGGGAGGGAAAAAAGCAACAGGAGGAACCAGGGAAGCAAGGTGCGCAAAGCAGAGGGACAACTCCAGTGGAAATGACTCGGGGCAACGTTTCTTCTCAGCAGAGCCAGGGTGGGCAGTGGCACAAAGTTAGTTTATTTATTTCGCGCAGAGGTCTCCAAACGGGGCAACTTTAAGACCTGCGGACTTCCATTCTCAGAATTCTCCAGCCAACTACCCGGAACTCCACAAGTCTTAAAGTTGCCCCGTTTGGAGACCCCTCATTTAGCGTATGGCAGCGGCACGAAGTAAATCAATAAAAACCCAAAGGGCAAAAAAATAAAATAAATAAAATAAAAGCGGATTCGAGGAGGAAGAGGGCGGAGTGGGGGGGGGGGGGGGGGGGGGGGGGGGGGGGGCGGCTCTTCAGCCCTCTGCGGGGCGGCCAGATGAATAATTGAGTTTTGGACCGGGCCGAAGAAACTGTCCTCCTGGCTTGGCTAATGAGACCCATTTTAACTACATCACCCATTTCCCACTTCCATCCCGCTCCTGTCTTCTAGAGGATTTCCCACTTCCATCCCATCCCAGGCAAGTTGGGGAAGGCCGCCCGGGATCGGCTCCGCTCGGGGCTTGGGAAACTATCATTTCCAGCCCCTCAGAACGGAAGGAAGCTTCTTGGATGAAGAAGCAAAACGTCTTCCAGCAAATAAGCAAAGACCGTCCAGTTGCCTTTTGGGGGCAGGGGGGAAGCGCCTTGGGGGATATTTTCCAACCCGGAGCAGCTCCGGAGACCGGGCGGAGGAGCCCAGGGACTCCAAGCCAGCGCAGCGCTGGATGGCGGAGCGAGGGCGCAAGTGGCGCGCAACCTCCTGGCCCGGAGGACGGAGCCCTCTTACCTGTACCAGAGCAGCCCCTTCTCGTAGCAGCGGTCGAAAAAGTGCGGCTCTGCTCCGACGGCTCTCACGTCCGGGTGGACGCGCAGGAACTCGAGCAGCGCGCGGGTCCCGCCTTTCTTCACGCCGACGATGATGGCCTGCGGGAACTTCTTCTGGCCGGAGCCGCTGGCCACGGGCAGAGCCCCGGCCGGAGCATCCTCCTCGGCTCCGGCGGCTTCGTCTTCTTCTTCTTCCTCCTCCTCCTCTTCTTCCTCCTCTTCCTGCCCGGGGGGCTCGGGAGGGCGCTGGGGGAAGAGGGGCGGGCGGGCCTGGGGGGGCCAGCCGGGCGGGCCGGGCCGGCGGAGGGGCTGGCAGGGGCCGGTCAGGCAGTAGAAGAAGTAGGTGCAGAGGAGCAGCATGGCCAGGGCGAGCGGGGCGCGCGGAAGCCCCCCCAGCGGCCCGCCGCGGCTACATCCCATGGGCGGTGGGCGCCCCCGGGCAAGGCGGAGTCCTGGCGGCCGGCTGGGGCGGCGAGGGCATCGCTCCCCCGGAGGGCGCGGGCCGGGCCGTCCCCTCGCCGCTCCCTAGGCAGCCGAGCCGGCCCCGGTCCGGTCCTTTCAGCCCCCACCCAGCCTTATTTGGGCGCCGCCCCCCAGGCCGCGGCGCACTTGCCCTCCCGACCGGCTTCTGCTGCTGCTGCTGCGGCTGCGGCTGCAGCTTCGCTCGCCAGCCCAGCCTTCAGCCGGCGCGGGGCGGGGCGCGGCGAGGCGGGGCTGGAGAGACGCACCTTCCTGCCCTGACGGGCTCCCGGGCCGGCTCGTCCTCTGGCAGGCGCCCCGCTTTCCCCACCGAGCCTTCCCTGGGCAGGCAGGGAGCCCCCGCCGGCGCTCCCCCGGGGGAGGAGGCGCCTTGGAGAGGAGCTGCCACCCCCAGGAGACGCGCAGCGGCGTCGCTGTGCGGGACTTCGCTTCTCCCTCGGCCGGGGGCCACCTCCTTCGCCGTCGAGGGTCTCCGCTCCAAGATGCGCGCTCCCGGGAGGCGAGGAGGGGGGCTCTCAGATCATCAGAGGGGGAAGGGACCTTGGAGGTCATCTAGCCCACCCACTCCCGCCCAAGCAGGAGAGACACCCTACACCATTTCTGTCAGATAGGCAGCCCAGTCTCTTCTTGAAAGCCACGAAGCTCTCGCAACTTCCGAGGGCAACTTCTGTTCCATTGGCTTCTCCTGGGGTGGGGTGCGGGGCGCGAGCGATCCTCTGGAAGGCGGCAGACCTGCGTTGCGCCCCTTCCCACCTTTCGGGATGCGAGAATAGGGGCTTCTTCTGAAGGGGGGGTTGGGGTCGCGAGCGATCCTCTGGAAGGCAGCAGACGTGCGCTGCGCCCCTTCCCACCAGCCGGCTCGATCCTCGAGGGCCGCAGCTTCTGAGCGCGTCCCCGCAGCCTCTCCTGGGAGGGGAAATTACCCTTCTCCCCAGTTTGGCACTGATCGGAGTTGAAAAATTGACCTGCCCTTAAATTGACCTGCCCATTGATCAAAAAGGAATTTCTTTTCCCCTAAAGAAAACCAGGAAAACCAACCGTCTTGTTCACACAACTTGCAAACCTTCCACTCCTTTCCTTTTTTTAGCTTAGCACGATTGCGGAGTTCACACAATGTGCAAGGCCCAAGTGGGGGCCAGAGGTTGATTTAGCAAGGAATCTATCCCAGAATCTTATGGTTGTGCTGACCTACTTTCGATAGATTTCTTCATATTCTTGGTGGTGTGGTTCCAAAATGCACACAATTGCTCCCTTTTCTGGTTCACAATTAATTTGTTTTTAAAAGCTAATTTCAGTCACCTCCCACTTGTCTGGATTCCTGTGCAGGCTTCAAAGTTAATGAAGCCAAGAAGCAGACAAAGGAGGGGTGTACATATAGTTATACACGTTTAAAGTATAATTCTAAAGATACTTCTTGGATGAAAAAAAAAATATCCCGTCGCAGTCAGCAAACGCAAGTTAATATTCACAGACACACAAAAGCATCTTAACAATTAATGCTCAAATTGTACACTTGCGTCAGATATTAGGATGGGGAAAGGTTATGGTGTCATTGCAGTTTGGACCAGGCACTTTAGAAATGCGAGCCTTATGATGCAATTGCTAAAAAGCTGCTATTCTTGAGTAGCATAAGGCCAAATTCAGGCAAATAGCAATAGCACTTAGACTTACATACCACTTTACGGGGCTTTACAGCCCTCTCTAAGTGGTTTACAGAGTCAGCCACTTGTCCCCAACTAGCTGAGTCCTCATTTTTGGTCAGGACTGAACTGCTGGCAGTCAGCAGAATTAGCCTGCAATACTGCATTCTAACCACAAGGAAGGAAGGAAGGAAGGAAGGAAGGAAGGAAGGAAGGAAGGAAGGAAGGAAGGAAGGAAGGGCAATAGCACTAGCACTTAGACTTATATACCACTTCACTATACTTTTACAGCCATCTCTAAGCAGTTTACACAATCAGCCTCTTGCCCCCAACAATCTGGGTCCTTATTTTACCCACCTCAGGAGGATGGAAGGCTGAGTCAACCTTGAGCCTGGTGGGATTCGAACTGCCAAATTGCAGGCAGCCGGCAGTCAGCAGAAGTAGCCCTGCAGTACTGCGCTCTAACCACTGCGCCACCACGGCTCATAATTGATAATTGTCCCATTGCTTCTCTCTTGCTCATCAAATTGCAGCTGGAATATTGACTCGGTTGTGATCCCCACATTTAAAAGATGACCCCCTAAAACTTGGGACATGTCCTGGGCGAGGTGGGGGGGCAGGAAGAGTGGGAGGGGTAAAGCCAGAGACCCCAGCCAGGCAGCGTTTGGCAGATCTGAGGCCAGGAAAGAAATAGTAAGAAGGGTGTTACTGGGTTGGGAGAAACGGGTAGAATATACCTCTCTCTGGCTTGGTACAAATACGGCTGGACTCCTCCATCCTCCAATATCCTCTCTTCTTTGTGGCAGCCCCTCAAATACTGGAATACTACTATCATGCCACCCCTAATTCTTCTTTTCTTTAGCCTAGCCAAGCTCAAATCCTGCAGCCCTTCTTCATATGTTTTAGTCTTTGGGCCTTTGATCATCTTAGTCACACTTTTCTCTCAACTTTTTCCAAAGTCTCAACATCTTTTTTTGTAGTATGGTGACCAAAATTGGTTGTAGTATTCTAGGTGTGGTCTTACTAGGTTTTTATAAAGCGGCACTAATACTTCATGTGATCTTGATTCTGTGCCTCTGTTTATACAACCCAGGATTGAATAAATGGTGCCTGAATTTTGCTGAAGGGGCACAAAGAGATACTTTTCAGTTACAGTGACTTTCACCTGTAATATCATCGCTGTCCCCTACTTGCCCGTTGTAGAGATGGAGCAACTACTGGTTCTCATTTGAATGATGACGGAGGTAATTTTGCTGTTTTTAATCAATATATGAACCAAATCTCACTTGCCGATTACAGTTGAAAGCTGAACGCTCAACTATCAGAACTTTACAAGTCCTCTGAGTTTGTTGCTTCTTTTTTTTTTTTTTTTAAAAGCAAGTTTATTGCAGAAACATCCGTGCAAAAGACTGCATATTTATCAAAACAATGCAGAAAAATGGCATCACTTTAGGAAAATTTGATGGGAAACTGTCAGTGGAGCAAACTGACAAACAAAACATGTAGATATTTGGGGAAGCTGAATTGAAGGTGCCACAACACCAATTAATGAATGGGAAAACAAGGGAAAAAACGAACGAAACTGAAACAGATGCTTTCAGCTTTTTCTTCTACCTCTCCTCTCCTCAAATGTTCACCCAAATCTTATAGAATACTTTTCACAGAAATACAGTTTAGTAATAAAGTATAAAGTAAATGCTCCAGAATCTACAGCAATGCTTTTACAGCCTTGGAAAAAAATGGAACAAATGTTAGATTCCTACTTTTCTGAGACATTTGGAAGGAGGTGGAGGAGAAAGGAGAAAAGGAGAAATGAGAGGTAAGAGAAAGAGGAGGAGGAGGAGGAGGAGGAGGAGGAGGAGGAGGAAGGGAGGGAGGGAGGGAGGGAGGGATGGAGGAGGGAGAAAGAAGGAAGTAACACTATAAGAACAAAAGTGTCACCATGCCAAAAATAAACATAACATCTGTGAGTAAACTTAAAATATATACAAAAGTTTGAACCAGCCAAGGGAGATCTCCTTTCTTCCCATGGCAAGAGCAACAAAACAAATGTGGTATATACTGTATGTATATAATTTATAATCTCCCTTGAACTTTCAAGATACTGCAGGATACAAATCAAAGGCAAATGCGCAAATGTGTCCCCAACCCAGGACTGGAATTAAAGAAAGATCAAACAACATTTGGGAACGGAATGGTAGGTTAAATGAGTGGGAGGGGAGTAAATGGTGTTTGATAGCACACATTCAATTAATATTTTTGCAATTGAATTTCCTCCCCTGTAATTTCTCAAGCCTTAATTACTGTTTGCAATCATTTCTATCATGAGAAGGGATTTGCAGGGAAAACCCACTTCTTTTCTGCTGGATTTTAAAATAAAAAAGGGAAACATTATAAATAAACAGCAATTAGTTTGGTGGTAGCCTCATGCCAATCAATTAATGCTTGCAATTGTCAGTTTTAATTAAAGAACCTCAGATTTTTATGTAGGTGAGTTATGTGCACATGTTCACAAGCATCAGTATATGTAGTTTCTTTTACTTCATCATCCGAAAATGAAGTTTAAAGTTCTGGTTCACATGACACGTTAATCCATAATGTACTTTAAATACAGTTCGTTAAGCAAGCCATATTGGCTGCATTCATACATTGTGCAGAAGTATGAATCATAGTTTGCAAATCCAAGCATCTGGCTTCCCACAGTGCAACATAAAAACCAGCCAGGAGATCTTGATTATCAGGAATAATTTTACATTTAGTTGGAGAATAATTAGCAAACAAACCCTTTGCAAAGTATTCCTCTATAAAGCTCAAGCACTCATTAGAGACTAAGAACTTAGAATAATATGATTGTCTCTTTGACTGTACACTGATCAGCATACATTAAAATGAAATTTCATTGAATGCAGCTCTCAAAAGGCTCATCACCTCATTCATTATTTTCAAAAATATGTGTATTTTTGTTTTACTATGAGCTTTAAAAAATCTGGAGAAGTATGAATGATGAAGAATAGGTCACTTTGAGTTTGTATGTTAGTTTATAATTGCAAAAATTAAGTTTGCATTCAAGTATAAATTAAACAAATCTGTACTCTGTTCTGAGTAAAAAAATAAATTAGTTAATTGATGGTTGCTATATCGGTATGTGTCTTTGCTGCTAACTTATAGTGACTATGTCTATGAAGATTCTCAGTCATCCAGGTCATTTTTCAAAAGGCAACTGGACTTCCTTGTTTTGGT